TATCGCCTGCCTTTCCATTAACCCCGTAACCCAACTCGTCAGTAATATTCAATCGGCTAATGTTTAACCCCGTTAGCTCCGCTCTGCTTGGCTCCACCATTTGCGGACCTGCCCTCGCTGTAACTATATATACTCAACTTGTACATAGGTTACACTTCAGTAATAAAATTGACTAGAGTTTGCCCCCTTTCAGTTCTGGTTGCCAGCTTAGTAAGTTAGGGCATGGACGTGTTACTTGGCACAGCGCTCCTGGCACAAGTCGCTGAGGCCAAAGCCCTCCGCCACGGAGACACTCCTTTGTCTCAACCCGGTCTCTGACAGAATGCATGGATATGGCTCAGATTCTTGGATTGGGTATGTGAAGAAATTCATGTTGCTAGCACTATAGACTTATGTCATGAATTCAACTAATATAAATTGGGTGACTGGATGAATGACATAAAATGGACAAGCCTGGTATTGAACCCAGGACCTCTAGCATGCATCCATACACTACTCACCCATTATGCCAGGGAGGTTACTCCATCCCTGATGGTTATTCCAACAGTATGGAGTTTATTTACTGCAATCAAATAGACCATTGCCTGAACTAAACACTTTGCATACAAATGAAGATAGCATATTTAATTTGAAATTGCAGTACAGTTTGTTAGAGGGTTCCTCCCAAACTGGATGGCCAAGCTTGCAGCGCAGCACCGAAGGTGCTGCAAGCTCGGCCATCCAGTTTGAGGGGAACCCTCATAACAATTGTAGCCTGGTATTATTTCGGACTAATCCGTGCCAGGCCACGGATATATTCATTCATTTGAATTCTTTTCCTTCTCCCTCAGTTCTTCACGCATATTGGCTGAGACTGAGTACTTACTCATAGTCCAGCTCCGAGATCAAATTGTCGCTCATCAACAACTTCCCCTCACTGCTCAGCTGGAATCCCTATTGCAATCCGCTTTGCTGGGTTCCCCCATTGAGACTGACCCTGTCCCCTTCGGCCTCAGCTCCAGCGAAGGCTCGGGATCCCTCGACTTAGAGTCCGAGCAGCTTGGTACCCTGACACCTACTTGCCAGAGGAAGGCAAAAATCAGTATCATTTTCCAGCCAATCCTCGTACTGACGACCAATGTGATCTTTGATGTATTCCTTCGGAATGATGAGTTCCGCCCTGCCCTTAAACCATATTGTTGGAGTGTCGTCATTGCATCCCCTAGACCGTCCCCTTACCAGGGCCATATTTGGCAAGAATACTTGGGTCGGTCACCTCTTGTGAGAGGCTATGCTGTAGCCATTCCAACCATGACTGGTCGGAGTCACGACCCACAGCATTGTCTGTTCCCCAGTCTCCTAGGCATAAGCAGGGGATAGTCACTGTTATAATCGCAGCATTGCAGCCCGATCCTCTGAGCACGATATCACAGTGTCATTAGATATCGTGCTCTCAGCTCACATTACGCTTATATACATTTCTGAGTGGCACAACGGAACAAAGGCCAAAGTGTTGAAGGAGAGAACGAAGGAAGGTCAGTTGGGAGGTTCAAACGAGACCACCACCAAGCTGTTCCCTGGTTCTTTAGTTAGGATGGGGAAGTGTACTAGTGTTATTTATTGTAAATATAGTACCAATCCGAGTGTTTTGGCTAATTCTATTTTTATGGGTTAGTTTTAAAGTTCCTGAGAATTGACTTACAGATAAACCGAGCCCTGCGGAGCTGTTTCTTTATTGAAATTTATTAATTTGTCTAGGTGTAATTCTGTGTAGCATTGTTTAATTTGGATTTAAACTTGAATTTAATCTTCTACTTGGTGAAGTTTCAAAGATTCTATTCAGTTAATGAATTTGGATTCTGTCTGGAGTGTCCCTTGAGTTTGTTTTATTTTTGTCTTATTTTATTGCTTGTTTTAACAGTAGCAAAATAACTGTTTTGTGTTTACACTTTGAAATCTGGAGTGTTAACCAGCTCTCCTCTTGAAATATCTACTTAATATTTCTCTCCTTTATTGCTGCCTTTTACTACAGTGGCAATCTTAACTGTATATCACTTTTTCGCACTGGAGTGACAACCAGAAATGCTTGAGAAAAATAATACTCTATTTTCTTACTTCTCTAAGGGGGCGAAAAGTCGCAGAAAGGGTCTCCCTTTTATACTCCTTGGGTCGCCTTCCTTTTTCACACTCTACCTTCTATTTACAGGATTTATTTACAGTGTATTTTTCTCAAACTGAATAAAAATGAAATTTTCATGCTATAGTTCTACTGTGCTTTTTACTGCGCTGAACTGCGGTTCTACTGCGGTCAGACTGCACCTAGAATTCTTATTGTCCTCCCTCGCCTAAGCTATTTTAATGGTTAATTGGAACTTGGCTGCGCTGCATTTGCCGCAGTTACCTATTTCAAATTCCCTATATATACCATTAAATTTGCTATGACTTGATGATTCTGAATTCAAACTTCGCATTACTATGCGTATGGCTGTGCTGAGACCTTCAGCTGATTTATTCCATTTTTATTTAGTGACATTTTAGTTAAAATGAGACTGAAATGGTAAATGAGTGAATTATTCAGGTTTAAAACTGAAAGAAAAAGTTGCTAGTAATCAAGAATTACTCAAACAAATGTGTTATAGCTCTCCACCTCATTAGAATATCGTTCCCTAAAATTCCTGCCATGGTCCGTCGTAGTTTAGTGGTTTTCGTGAATTTCGTTCATATTCCCTGATTCCCTTTTGTATTATCACATCCTAATCCTCCATATGTATTGTTGGTTGTTATAATAGGTCGTCCTTGAAGATATCATATTTTTATGTATTTTATTTGGGACACTGGACCTCTTGAAGCTGTTTTCCCGCGCGTTTTCAGGTTTCTAACTTCATGTCCCTATATCTCATTCATTTCTGGATGTTTTCTCACGTTCTTAGTATCATAAATTTTCATTTATTCCCACCTTTCCAATGGTACCAAGGTTGTGTCCTATTTCCTAGTATTCGTTGAGTTAGCAAAAGTTCGCGCGCACATTCGGTAATCACGTGCGTCATTCCCATAGTCGTTCGTATGCGGGCGCCGTTTCCGTTTAATTGTTCGGGATTTATGATATGTGTGGGTGTTTATTTCTTTCATATGGGCTTCTGTGATTTATTTCAGATTTTTCCCTCATGATTTAAGGTTGTTTTGCACTTTCCGTGCTTTGTTTTGACCAGGCTCTTCCTTATTTGGACAGAAATTGGTCTTCGCGATCTGCCGAAGTGCGGATCTCGGTTCCGACGGCCGGTTCCCTGCGCATCGCCACCCTCACGTGTCATTACACATGATGCAGATTTCTATATTCCTGTCATGGGTATAACTTCACAACGGCTGGACTGTTTGGGCTGAAAATTTGCATAACTATAGTTCCCCATTTTTAATAATTTCCGTGTAAATTTCGTTGTATGTTTTAATTATGGATCCTACGCAAACATCGTCTTTTCCCTAAGCTCGGACTTTTGATGTCACTATTCCCATTATTGGATATCTCATTAACGCATGATCCTTTTATTATGAAAATTTGGGAGGATTAAGATTGGATCCCTTCCTTTCTAATGGGCTATCAAGCTTGTCTCGGTCGTTACTGGTTAATCTTCGCGCTTCCCTTTTAGGCATTGTCCTCGTTTTGCAGGAGTTTTAGTCATATTGTCAGGGCACACCCGCCTGACCCGGGCCCACCCGGGCCCACCCGGCCACACCACACCCGCTCCCCGCTGTCTATCCCCCTCCCCCCTCCTTCCTCCCTCTCCTCCCCTTTCTTTTCCCTCTTCTTTCCCCTTTCTTTATTTCATTCTTCTCATCTTCCTCTTCCTGTTTATTTCTTTCTATCTACACGGACCACCTTCCTTTGTATCGATGTACTATTGACCCGTCCGGCCCACACACCCCGGACGGCTTCCCGCTGTGCCCAGCACGCGCGCATGTAGCGGATGCTCTCGGGATCCCCCACAGGGACACCCGGATGCCTGCGGCTGCCTCCGAAGATGACGTGGCACCTGTCATGTGACTCAAGCCGCATGTACATAAATGTACCTGAAGTGGGAACCGAAGAAGTAACCTTCTTCTCACATTCTCCACTTCAGGTAAGTAGTATAGTTTTCCCCTTTAATAATAATAACACATTCTCCACTTCGGTCTGAGTGGCCAGGGACCGCTGTCCCGGATCGGGCCCGCCAGTACGCACGCCCACTCCACACCCCACGACGGCCTCCGTGCCGGATATTACCCCGGGCCCTCTCGACCCCGGACGCATCCCTGACACATATCTCCATTGTTTATAGGTAGTTTCCCCTGTAATTACTCTCATTGGTTCCATTTGGAGGACATCTACATTTCCTATTGTAAACACGACTCTGACTTTTGCATTAATTCCTGAGGAATCTTCGTTCCGTGGTACTTCCATCCTTGGCTACGTGTTTGGACGTGGGAAAGTAGTTTCCATGGAGGTTCTCTGATTAATTTTATAGTCAAATCTTGGTCGATTGTCCTAATTCTTGGTTTAATATTTGCTATAAATTCCCCCGAGAATTCCGTCTCGTTGATAGTAAGCTTGAAGTATTTTTGCTATTTTTCTTTCTTTCGATTTATCGTGTATAGTCATAATAATTCGTAAAAATTCGTAAAATTCGTTAAAATTCAGGTCCTTCTATTTTCTCATATCTACTTGTCGTATGAGGTTTTTGTGATTTATCTGGCATATTTCCATAATGGGTTTCCATAGTGTGGCCGTTATTTCTCCTACAGCGTTGAAGCAGTAAAACTTCCCATAAAAGGGAACAATAACCGTGGTGACAAGGGGCATCGGAATGCCACTTCAACAGTCACCGGCGAAGTGATAAGATATGGGCGGGGGTGTATATCACGGTAAATAAGGACAGGGGCTTCGAAATCTTGCATGGGATGATTTGTAACCAACTCCCATGAATCGGTTGACCAAATATACATGCAGCCCATGTCATGAGCGAGGATGTATTGTCCTCCAGGGGATATTAGAAGCGCGTGACGGTGAAGAATGGCTGACCGGGGGGAGATGATATGTTGGGGAAGGTAAGATACTGGATAGATGGCTGTTCCAAAACATGAAGGATTTCGATGTTTTTGTGCCAATGTTTTGGTGAAACTCGAACAATGAATGATCCGTTATCTGCAACCGCAGTGATGACAGAGAGATTGTCATTTGGGATGGAACCAACCTTCACAGGCTGGGGGCCATGGCCGAGGATGACTATGTTCCCTCTAATATCCTCGGTCGCAATTTGGGTGTTACCACAGACGAACTCAATCCAAGACGGAGGTTCGGTCATATCCCACTGTTGGAAGATAGTGCACTGGCCATCAATATCAGCGATCTCGATGGCACTGCTTCCAAAGCCAAGTGCAATGTAACGGCCATCTGCAGAGAGCGTTGCACAAACCGCAACACCATTGCGAACATCATGGGGAAGAAATTCGGCTCTGAAACCAACCTCCTTTGGCTTCCTGAGCTTCCCTTCCATAATTTTCCAAGTGCGGAGTGCGTTATCACTTAGAGGAATAGAATGGCCGGAAAACTCTCCGGTGATACTGAAGACCTTGACAGGGTCAGAAAGATGACGATACCACTGGAAAAGCAGGGAAGATGATGGGGAAAAGGGAAGAACGGATCGGTAGAGGTGCCAAGGGAAGAATGGAGGCCTGCTGGATTGGTCGGGAGGCCAAGAAAATGCCATATTTGCACCATGGATGCCTAAGAAGCCCAATGCCATCTTGGCTTCTGTCAGCAGCTGGAGGGAACCATGATCCTGCGGGGTAGAGATGATGTTGGAACCAAACAAGACACAAGAAAGTGAGACCCGCCTTATGTTGGAGTAGCTCATCCAGGACTTTCAATTTTCCACACATTGCAACAAATGAGAGTAGATTCTTTGTGAGGAAGTGGTTGAACTCGTTGTGCAGTTCATTGGGTTGCTGCAGGAGGAGCTGCGAGGGGTCCAAGTGGTCAAACAAGTAGTTTACAACATAATTGACAGGGGATGTCAAGTTCATTCTGTCTAATGAGCCCATCTATGAACCGGAGGAGCGGCAATGCGAGAAAATACCCCTTTTTGTCATTGATAAAGAATTCCTGGTCATTTTCATCACCAATAGGGTAACCAGTGATGAATTCCTTCATTGTCGCATGGTAGAACTGAGGGATACCCGTGCCATCCGAGGAGAACTCAATAATCGAACTAATCGGTCTTAAAGCCACATGGATTTCATTGGCCGAGCTTGCGAGGCGTTGGTTACAGAGGGGTCAGTTTTTTTTTCGTGGGAATATACCGTGTGAAAGTGCAATCCCACCCCCCCATGGCCACCCCGTGAGAATGGCCACCCCATGAGAAATGGCCGCCTGTGGGATCCGCGCAACATCGGATCCAAATATATCTCATCCGTGCAATGTGTGTGCCACAAAATATTGTGGCAACACTTGCAGTGTTGTATGTTAATAAATACATAATAATCATTTAAACTATATATTTATTAACTTTGAGGGAAACTTAGGCTCTATGTAGCTTTTTAACCTTATCAACATAAGAGTGATATTGTGGCTGTGCTACATACACGCGCTGTAGGCAGGATAACCTACTATACTCTACACTGCTGGTATTTTTGCGGTTTACATTCCTTATGGGTTCCTTGCATGCAAAGATCACCTCCCAATGCCCATGGAGCATAATGTTGGAGAATATAATGTGTTCCCAATAGTATAGAGTTTAACAGCCTATACCAGCATGGCTCAAGGGTGAGTAGTGTATGGATGCACGCTAGAGGTCCTGGGTTCGATACCAGGCTTGTCCATGATTTTATGTCCTTGCCACGTGACCTGGATTTGAAGCCATTTGAATTGGAGCTCCGGATAAGTCCAGTAGTTGCACCGGATACAATTTCGACACATAAAAACAATTTATTCCATTTTATAACAGAGTACAATTATGCATAACATGCTGGTACTGAATTGGTTCAGCCCAAAAACTACGCTTGGCACTGCTGACCACCGAGAGACGATCAAGGGCTCAAAAAATAGAGAAAAATGATAAACATGGATTCCCCAAATTTCATCCAGATTGACCCAGCTGTTGTGGAGCAATGGTGGTGACAATTTCTCATCTTACTGTAAGGTTCCACACAATGTCAAAAGGCACATGAGGGTGGCAGTGTTGAAAGTCCCATGTGGTGGAGCCAAGATCCATACTTCGGGAGATCATGAAACTGGTTTTTGGCCCAAAATGGAAATCACAAGCTGTACAGAAGTAAACAAACAACCAAAATGCACTCTGGAGTGCTCAGAAAAATTCAGAAAAACCACAAAGGATGTGTATGAAGATTCAATTGACATGGGGACTCTCATGGACACTTTCCAGGATGCCTAACCCTGTGCATGGGCCAATTTCATGATTCTCACACCCACCACTCAGTCAAATCTCAACCATTTGGGACAAATTTGGTATTGGGAGAAAGCTACAAACCCAGGGAATCAAATGGAGAGGTTGGGAAGAGATGCTGTGGGTGGGAGATGGATGAGTGTGGTGTGATGATGGAAATTGGTGGAGGATGACAATTATTAGCGGATATGGCCCACTTACTGTATCACTCCTGTTTTCTTTTATTGAACTTCCACATCGACCGTTGGACTTATCAGCCATACATAACTGTGTACATGGTGCTCATAACAACAATCTTTCGTTTTATATTTTCTTTTCATTTGTTTTTCCACATTATTGCCATTCCATGTGTTTAAAAGCCCTGTACACATAGGAATGGAAAGAGGACCTCCCTTTTGACTACAAAAGAGACTGTAGTGCTGAGAGATCCAAGTAGAAAAGAAACCCTAAGCTTGACTCCTTGAGTATTGTCAGGGCATGCCACTCCGCTCCACGCTGCACCCTCCCGCTCCTCCTCTTTCCTTTCCCTTTCTTCTCTCTTTCTTTCTTTCTGTATATGGATGACCTCTCCTCTTACCTGTGTAGCACAGATGCATCTGATGCTGAGTACTCCATGTGGGTACCGTGCTGCCAGATATGCTGCACACCCTCACTTGTACCTCTCTCCTCTAACACTCAGGATTACCCATGGAGCCACCCATGATCACTGTCAGGGCACACCCGCCTGACCCGGGTCCACCCGGACCCACCTGGCCACACCACACCCGCTCCCCGCTGTCCAACCCTCCCCCTCCTCCTTCCTCCCTCTCCCCCTTTCCTTTCTCTCTTTCTTCTCCTTTCTTTATCTCATTCCTCTTATCTTCCTTTTCTTGTTTATTCCCTTCTATCTACATGGACCACCTTCCTTTGTATCAATGTACTATTGACCCGTCCGGCCCACACACCCCGGACGGCTTCCCGCTGTGCCCAGCACAGGCGCATGCAGCAGACACTCTTGGGATCCCCCACGGGGACACCCAGATGCCCGCGGCTGTCTCCAAGGATGACGTGGCACTCATCATGTGACTCAAGCCGCATGTACATAAATGTACCTGAAGTGGGAACCGAAGAAGTAACCTTCTTCTCACATTCTCCACTTCAGTCTAAGTGGCCAGGGACTGCTGTCCCTTCCCGGACCTGCCAGCATGCACGCCTGGTTCACACCCCGCAAGGGCCCTTCTGCCAGGCGATACACCCGGACCCCCTCTACCCCGGACGCGTCCCTGACAATCACCCAGCTCTGCCCAGGCTGACGTGGCACCCCCATGTGACCCGTTCCCACCTGTATATAAACCAAGCCAAAGCAGAACTGAAGAAGTAGCCTTCTTCTCATTACTGCTTCAGGCAAGTACCTTAGTCTAGCTTAGTTTAGTTTAGCCTTTCATTCTAATAACAACCATTACTGCTTCAGCCTAAGAAGCCAGATGGGGACGTGAGCCCAAGTGGGGGCCACTCACCATACATTCCTGTTACTCCGCCACCACCCAGGCTGCTACCCCTGCCTCTCCTGTACTGTCCCTGACAAGTATTATAAGGAATCCCTGATGATTGTCCAAGACAGACTGTCAGAGTACTGCAGTTCTCTGCCATTTATTCCATTCATTCTCATTTATCACTTCCTTTTTATCTCTCTCATGAGCTGAGTCATTTCTTATTTGTCAGAGGTCCTTGCCTCATGTCATTGTTTGTATGTCAGCATATCTACACAGCCCCCATAGATCAGGCAGATTTGGACAACTCCAGAGTGGAATTGGAGACTTAGCGTGGAAGGACCTCGGCCTCAGCGACTCAGGCAGAGTGCTATACCATTGCTGGTTGTCCTGGGGGTCCCTAATTTCGGATCTAGCAAAGGAAAGTCTCTTGGGGGGAAATCAAGTCGATTTCGGACTGAGGTTACAAGTTACTAAGTACATTGTATATAAGGAGGGGTCTGGAATCAAAAGGAGCAAGGGTACTCCAAAAGGAGACAAAGGGAGCTGGAAGGAGGAACAACACCGAGGGTCAAGGGTTTGACTCAATGGTGTTTCCCAAAGGAGGAGTGAAGGGCCAAGGCCCAAGGAGGAAGGAAGGAGGATGGGAGTGGGGAATGGCTAGCTGACTGAATAGAAAGGAAGCAGCAGCCCAAATAGGAATGAGGGAGAATAGCGGAATTGAATGGAGCAATGCAATAGTTGCAAGGTCTGAAGTAAGTCTGGAAAGTCCAAACTCAGAAGTTAAACTCCAGAATATTGGCAAATGTAATTAAATGGAATGAGCTAACCAATACAATGGGTATAAGTGGAGGTGGGGTCAAAGTCTGAGGTCGGAGCTAAGACTGGAGGTTCTGGAGATGGAGACACAAACGGGATTCCGGAGCGGAGGTCTGGAGTCGGGAGCATAGGTGTTGCATGCTTGTCTGGGTGTAAGGGATTAACCTTACTTCACTATAATTCCGATTATAGTGATATTTATATTATGTTGCATCGCTATAATTCCCATTATAGTGATGCTGTTCTTTCTTTATTTATTTGTGCCGAGATATGTAAATTACATATATATACCTCGGAGTAGTTGTAAAGGCCCGGTAGCCTTTTACCTCTACCCCGTTGAATATACAGCTCATTAAAGCTTATGTTTAGACGGACCTACTGAGGCCTGAGGCGAACGGGGGAACGGAACGTTACCGTCCCCAAAATAGTAAGCAACCTTTCACTGGGAGGTGTCGAGGTTGAGGTCGGACCTGGAATGTTCCAGAGTCGGACCAAAGGTGGTGTTGGAGCTGGAGGTGAGATAACCTCTTGGGAGTCAGCAAGGAGAAGGTGACGGAAGGGAAGTAGGACTCCAGAAGTCAGTTTCAGAGTTCTGGGAGCCCGGAGCAGAGGTCGGGATTGTACAGATATGACAGAGACAGTGGTTTGTTGGCTGAGCTTGCAAGGCATGCATTTGTTTGGGTAAGGGCTGTGTGTGTGCAAGTGCTGAGTGTGCTGAGTGTGTGTGTGGTGTGTGAGTGCAGTGTGTGAGTGCAGTGTGTGAGTGTGGTGTGTGAGTGTGGTGTGGTATGCGGTGTGTGAGTGCTGTGTGCAAGTGCAGTGTGGTATGTGGTGTGTGAGTGCAGTGTGTGAGTGCGGTGTGGTATGTGGTGTGTGAGTGCGGTGTGTGAGTGTGGTGTGCTGTGTGGTGTGTGTGTGAGTGCTGAGTGCTGAGTGCTGAGTGCTGAGTGTGCTGTGTGCTGAGTGTGCTGTGTGCTGTGTGCTGAGTGTGCTGTGTGCTGTGTGCTGTGTGCTGTGTGTGTGAGTGAGTGAGTGTATGCATGCCTGGAAAGTAATTGCCCATGGGTTGGGTTGTGGGTTGGGGGTTTGGGTTGATGGGTTGGGTTGGTGGGTTGGGTCAGGTAGGGGGTTGGGAAGTTGGGAAGTTGGGTATGGGGCTGTGGTGTGGTGGGAACGTATCTCTTTAATAATGCCATATGGAGCAGAGCAGGACAGCCCCTGCAGTGACCAATGTGGAGTAAGGACAGTGAGCAAGTGCAGAACACATGGCTAGCTGTCTCTGATTAATATCAGGTACACTATGATGGCAACTTAATAACATTGATTTCCCTGGGTAACATGTATATATGCAATCCTGCTTCCATTTTTATCAGTCACCTGCCAAGACTTTAATGTGGAGGAGTGTCCATGCACCCTCCCTCTACCTGACATCTAGGGCTCCTAGCAGATCAGACCCATATTGGCATATCTTTGTGGGCCAATCTGAATGTCAGGGACATAGCATATGACTACATATATCACCGCATGTAGCTGCATCAGCCCATAACTCTCTCA